ATGAAACTACTCAAGGCAAACAATATCATTTACCGCAGATGAAAGTGGCCTCTACAAAAATGATGGGCATCCCTGCTGTCTGGATGATCTAAGACCAAACCATGACCTTTAGCATGGCTAATGATCTCCAGTCCACTGAAGATACTGAGGGGTCCTTCGCAGTGCAAATGTTATGTGGACTTCTCTCTTTAATTTCGCTCCAGATCTTTCAAGTGGATCTGTGAAAGGCTAAGCGCTGTGGGCACGGCCGGCAGCACCCAGGCGCAGGCAAGCGGATGGGTTCTGCCTGCCTGGGGATGCGTTGAGAGGGGATAAAGGGATAAAGAGCCTCTGCTCTGGGACTGATTACTTACATCTGCCCTGTTAAATCCTTGCATGCATACGCACAGCTACTACTGTTTGTTTTGTTTACTGCTTGCCAGGGTGTGTGTGTTTATGTGTGTACGTAGGCTTGGCTATACTTGTGAAAGTCAAATGTTTGAAAATGGTGCCACAAATATAATGAAACATCTTGCGAGGACATCTTGGGCGGAGATCACTACTTGAACAGTTCATAAATCAGCAAAATTAGTTTAATTATATTGATGCCAGCAGTTTTGTGCAAGACTGAGTTTTAGCAAATATCACAAACCTCTAAATAAACATCACTTAAGGGCTGACCTCACTAATACAGACAAAAAAAAGACCAGCTACGTAACAAAGTACTGTTAAAATATACAGTATCCTAAAAAGATTTTAGCCTAAAATCAAAATCTCGATTAATTGAACATTTTAGCTCAATTACGATTAATGAATGATGATTTTATTTATTGAATTTTTTTGTCCTCATAGTTCATAGACAGGTTTTGTACAGTAAACTTGCTCACATATAACTAGTGAGAGATAGTTTTTTAATAATTCAAGGAAGTGCACATTATCTACTATCTATGATTATTTATAGAACGTCAACATTAAACAACAAAAATTAAAACACACATTGCGTAAACTGAACTTTTCTTATCAAAAATAAATAAATAACTTACACTTTTGGAAACAAAATAAATTATTTTCAGTGTTTTTTATATTAAATAAGCATTATATCTTTTAAATAAAATAACTCTTGCATATCCTGTAAATAATATTTTAAACAGTGCATTTCTTGCATCTTCTGTAAACAAATATTTGAATATAAATAATCATTTTAATGTAATAGAAAATAAACCGTCTTAATGCATCTCTGACACAGCTTCCAATCATCATCAATGTAGTGCAAAGTAATGCCGCCCACGCTTGTCAGAGCACAGAGAGCTTGCGGTATGCGTCGTTGCGACATGTAGTTATAATTTATTGAAAGGTGCACGGGTAGGCATGGGCCAATATAAGATTCTGACGGTATAATTAACTTGGATAAAAATATCACGGTTTCACCGTATTTTGATTACTATTCTAAAATATTTTTATTTAAAATGTCTGGTTAAAACATTAAAAAAAAATTATCTGAACATAATATATTTTATTTTGAGAAACATTTAAAATATTTTGTAACAGTAAACATGTCAGCAGGAAGAGGATGTTAACATGACGTCAGATTGACGCTGTACCAACGTCGTGAGGACATTGCATTTTGTTTGGAAATGAAAATTGGTTAATGTCAAAACCCAACGTCAGGCCGACATCAATGTCCAATGTCCAACCAATAATCAACCAAATATGATGTCATGCTAAATAATTTAAATAAATCATTGAATCAATCATTCTGCTGTCTTCATTTGTTTCAATACAGATTTCTGTACAATTTAAAACAGAATAGTTTGATATTTTTTCTGCTGGGGATACTGTTGTACTAAAATTAAATCCAACTTACACCTTAGGAACGGTATAGCAGAAAAGTTTGGCGGTTTTAAAACCCTGGCTTTTCCAAACCACGGTATACCTTGAAAATGTTGTCGTCGCATTTCTATTTGTGGGTATGCAAAAGCTGCGCCGGACCATACGCATGCGCTCGGTGCAGAAGTATAAATCAGCCTTAACAGAGCGGGGGCATGTGACTCTATACACGGTAGTTAAAGTAATTGAAAATTTGATCGATTATAAGTTCTGAATGTCAATTTTGATTACTTTTTGATTAATCGCCCAGCCCTATAATTAATTGTCATTTATTGGGAAAAATACTTTAAATGATAATGTTTGTTTGTTTTTTTTTAATTTGGAATAAATGTTATCATATTAACATTTCACTCAACACAAAAATCCAGTACATCCAGAGATGCCAAGAATTTGCATTCATTTATTTTCCTTCGGCTTAGTCTCTTATTTATCAGGGGTTGCCACAGCGTATTGAACAGCCAACATATCCAGCATATGTTTTATGCAGTGGATGCCCTTCCAGCTGCAACCCATCACTGGGAAACACCCATACACTCATTCACACACATACACTAAAAACAACTGAGTTCATCCAATTCACCTATAGCGCATGTTTTTGGACTGTGAGGAAACCAGATCACCCGGGGGAAACCCACGCGAACACAGGGAGAACATGCAAACTTTACATGGAAATGCCAACTGGCCCAGCTGGGACTCGAACCAGTGACCTTTTTGCTGTGAGGTGACAGTTCTAACCACTGAGCCACTGTGTTTTAAAGTGGTCTCAATTTTTCCATAGTTGTATATAGGTACTATACATGCAAGGGTTTATTGATGATAATACTCACAGATGCATAACTGATGCAAACATGCTGGTGATTCACATGTTAGATTTAATGATTTCTCAATTGAAATCTTTTCATCTAGCTGCTGTAAACAGAAGCTGCTCGTTATTGATATATTCTGCTCATTATGACTGTAACAGATACTGTAGAGGAATATTACTTACGGCCTTTCAGATATAAATGCATTAAAGCCAAATCAAACACAGACAGTGTGACTCAACATTGTGTGAGGAAACACTTTTGTTTAACAAACGCTGGTAAATCAATATGACAATCAATGTGCATTATTGCTAAAGCATCACTGGATATCACCGATCACAGACATTCATCTAAAAAAAAATCAGCTAAAAGAGACACTCAAAAAATAAAAATGTACTCACGTTTACAAACCTTGATGAGTTTCTTTCTTTTCTTAATATGAAAATAAACAATGGACATCAATGGCTAAAGGTTTCCAACATTCTACTAAATATCTTCCTTTGTGATTAACAGAAGAAACTTGTCTAAGTTGTAATTTACGTTTTTAAGTGAACTATCCCTTTAACTCTTGTGACGAGCATGCAGTGACAGTAGTCTGTTTTAAATCTAGCGAGATCTAGTTTCCACAGATAATTTAACGCCTTGGTAATTTACACTTTTATAATTACGTAAACATCAAGCGACTCGTTTTCCCGCGCTTTCTCATTTCCCTGTTGTAACACATATGAAAGTATGGTGATAAACAGCGATTGATTAACTTCTCATCTCCCCAGGTTATCACACCGCCACAAATAAGAGACAGCGAGATGCCAAAAAAGTGCCTTTGGCACAAAGGAGTCATTTTCACATATCCTCCTCAGTCGTTACTGTCACACACACACACACAAAATAAATGAATCAGTTAATGAATAAGAGCATGAAATCTAATATACGCCTAATTAAAAGAATTACCTGTGGACCTATACCTGTGTACAGTGTTAATCATTATGATCATACCTTCATAGTCAAATAACAATTAGCCACTTTCTAAGTCTTCATTTACTAAGCCAGCACTGACAGTGAGTGTTATAAAGCTGAAGATTACCACCATACATAACTGTTTTGAAGGTTGCACTTACTGTACATATCATAACCATAATCAAGCACTACAAACTGTTTAATTGACCAATTTACTAATCAATTAATGTCTAGTTTGCTTGCTTTGTGTTACAATATTTTCCATTTGTTCAAATGTGCTGTATTTTCTTTACTTATGCTCAAAAACCTTCTTGAAATAAAGAAAAGATCCATTAATTACTGCCATCTTCAGGTAGCCTATAAAGAAAGCCAATGCTATACTTAAATAAAACACTTTGAAGCCAGCCTAATCTGCTTTACTGGTCTCCCCAAGGAAGTTTATGTACTCTAGTGCTGGGTTTTTCCCCATATATGATGAGGGATCCCCCATTCTAAAATGTAAGTGGGAACTATAGAATTTCTAGAGCATTATTATAATATAAAACAAAGTTTATAATAAAATAACGTTTCTACTAACTACAGTACTGCATTCAATTATTGACATTTTACTATTTAATTGTATCTAACTTTGTGTCTTGTGTATTTACTTTTCTTCATAATTCAGTTTTTACTATTTGTCTGAATCTTATTTAATCATTTTTGAATTCATTATTTTTTTATTAATTAATTAAATCGTTCTGTTTGCTGCTTTAATTTCGATGTATGTTAGTATAAAATGCACATTTAATGCAGTCTTGTTGACTTATTTGGTAATATTTTAACATCTATTTTACATTTTTCATTCGCTTTTTCCAAACGTTCCATGGACCCCCTAGCACTCCCTTGTGGTTCCCTGGTTCCCAGTTTAAAGGCCGAAAAGTCCATCATGAACCAGATAATAACAGAAACCATTTAGTCTGGTATAAGCTGTGTTTCGTGAAATATTATATTTCGCATACCAGTCAAGAACTATAAGGTTTGTGTAGCTGCAATTTCAGAGTGCTGATTAAAAAAAACACTGATGAACAGTAATCTCTTCATGCAAATGAACAAGAGAAATGGTTTCTGTAGGTAACTGGTGTCCAAGTAAGAAAGAATTAAGCAATATACGGCATGAACAGCCACTGGCACGTGCAGAGATCGTCAAGACAGTGCAAAACCTTTACATTTAACAAGCACAAACTTGCTTCTCCAAACCTCTGATGAACATCAATCACTCGACATGGCACAAACAACCCCAGAAAAATCGCGTTTTCCACATGAGCGCGCGCCGGACGCACGCTGCCCGCAGTTTACCCCCGCAACAAGCACGTACACGTTCCCGCACGCATTTACCTCTGTGTCGTAGATTTTGGTGATGAGTGAGAAGGAGTACTGCCTGGACTCGCGGATGTGCTGAATGGCCAGCTGAACGGCCGGTTCGATGCCCTGACTGATGCTGCTCATCAGCGCTGATTCATTCATCGGCATCAGGACCATGATAGGCAACTTCTCACCATCCCTCGCGTACCAGTTGTTGTCCAGGCCGTGCCTTGTGTAATCGTTGCAAACCTTCGCCAATGCAGGTTGAAATCCCAAGACGGACAAGAGTAGGCATCCCGACAGAAAGATCATGTCACATCTGCAGTCCCTCCGGGACGGAGCCATGCTACCGAACAACTGAGATCCACCTTCTCACTGTCCTCGCATCGCAGTCTTTAGGTTCCTCTTGGATGCTGCGATCAGTCAAAGAGAAAAAGCATAATATGCAGTAGTAGAGGCTCTCGCGCACTCGATCTTGAGAACAGAAACGGTGCGTAAAACCAGAAGGTGTCCAGTCGCAGGGTTTATAAACTAAGCTTATTTCCCTTTTAGGGTTCCTTATCAAATCCGATCAGACACGATCCTTCCTTTCACCTCCAATAATGCGCACATCCCAATCCACCGCCTGTGCGTTACGCAGAGGTACAAGCGCAATGATTTGAGTCAACCTCCGCTATAGCGAACGTAAATACAACAGCCGAATATATTCCAAACATTTGAGGAGTTGCATCCCTGTGTGGAAAGCGCATAGGTGAGAGACGCTGGAGGACGAGCCCTGGTATGTAAAAGCAATTCCGAGTGAGGATATCCGTGCGACTCCGATGCTGCTGCTTCGGCGGATGCGCTTCACTTCTTTCGCGCGCTGACCGCGCTGTGCATGTATGCGTGCGCGCGTGTGTGAGCGCGCGCGACACAGGCAGAAAACATTTCCCACATTTCCAGAAAAACAACCGAGTGAAAGAGCGACAGGGCAGCTGTTCACTCGTAACGCGTTCAATAACCTACATACTGTCCCTCAGAGGTAATATGTGAGGTAAATTGACCACCTGCGCCCAATAGACTGCGTTTTAAAAGATGTGTTTAGTAGCCCACGTAAACAGAACAGAGACGTCGAGTGCAATATAAGCTAGTTAGTTAGTGATTGTTATATTAATCCCTGCGCAAATAGTTAACATCCTACATATAAGTCAAATCATATTGCACATAGTTTTTTCTTTTTTCTTTTTTTTTTGGTCATCGACAAACATTACAGCAAAATAAACACTGCCACCTAGCTATTACAGCCCTGTATGTGACTAAAGTTCACTTTTTCCTCAAGTTACTGGGAATCATTTTACTTGAAGCTAAAATAAGTTTAACTCCGACATTTAGCTAGATTTAGTTTGCTACAATAGTCTAAATAAACATGCAAGTGATTTCACAACAGTGCTACTCACCGGAAGAGAACTCTGACTGAAGACACGCGAGATTAGGCCAGGTTCAGCGTTTCTGTCCAAGGTGCTGAAAACAGCTGCGACTCAACTCTCTGTGACTTCGCTCATGTCAGCACCTCGTTTCATATTTCAGCTGGACTACGCCTAAATTTGCACGTGGTAATGCTATCTGTTGTATATAATTATGCTTTGCATACATTTGACAAATACCATGGACGGAAGATAAAAGCAAAGAATATGATGGTTTTAGTGTTCTGCATTCATAACTTACATTAAATACTCAGTATAATAAAGTTCATACATCATATTAATGAAGTTCTCATTCAGATGTGCCATGCAATATGGCGTACTGTATTTCATTTATCCCCTAGTTTACTGTAACAGGTGAGGTTTAATCCTAGTCCCAGACTAAAGGGTAAGTCTGAGGTGTTTCTACTGAAAGAAACTTGCACTGACTGAACCTAAAATATATATGTGTCTTTGTTTTGTCTGAAGATGGACACCAGTACTACTTTTAAAGGCACATTAATAAAAACTTACATTTCCAAATTCAACTATGGCCTAACCTTAGCTTAGCCTAAGCCCTATCTGTGAAACTAAGACTATATTTACTTTATCCTCATATTTCCAAGAATGTTTTTTCTAATTGTGTAAATTATTATACAGACGCAGTACATTATTAACATTTAAAATTTCTCAACTTTTTCAACTTTGATGAATGGCGATGAACCACTTGACTTATATATAACATGACTTGTATATCTAACTGATGGATGGATGGATGGATGGATGGGTGGACAGACGGACGGATGGACAGACGGGTGGATGGATGGATGGATATTGACAGAACAATAGTTAAATTGAATGAGACAGATAGACAGATAGATAGATAGATAGATAGATAGATAGATAGATAGATAGATAGATAGATAGATAGATAGATAGATAGATAGATAGATAGATAGATAGATAGATAGATCAAGAGATGGATCAACAGACAGACAAATGGACGAATGGATGGACAGAGACATAGATGAACAGGCCAATAGATAGATAGATAGATAGATAGATAGATAGATAGATAGATAGATAGATAGATAGATAGATAGATAGATAGATAGATAGATAGATAGATAGATAGATAGATAGATAGATAGATAGATAGATAGATAGATAGATAGATAGATAGATAGATAGATAGATAGATAGATAGATAGATAGATAGATGATAGATAGATCAAGAGATGGATCAACAGACAGACAAATGGACGAATGGATGGACAGAGACATAGATGAACAGGCCAATAGATAGATAGATAGATAGATAGATAGATAGATAGATAGATAGATAGATAGATAGATAGATAGATAGATAGATAGATAGATAGATAGATAGATAGATAGATAGATAGATAGATAGATAGATAGATAGATAGATAGATAGATAGATAGATAGATAGATAGATAGATAGATAGATAGATAGATATATAGATAGATAGATAGATAGATTCACGAACAGAGAAATATTTAGATGAACAGGCCGATAGGTGGATGGATGGATGAATGAAAACTGTAGATAGAAAGATAAATAGTCCTGACATCATTCAGTAAGTACGACACCAATCATAAGAGCACTATAATTATGAGTACCATAAAATCCCAATGCACTAAATGATCAAGAAAGGGCTCAGGGCTGTAGTGGAGCATCAGTGTGTTGGCTCTTATCTCTCTGCTTCTATCACTATACATACACCCTGCACATAGTCTTGCTGACGTCTTTTACCGCTGTCTGGGTATTGCTATCTGTTGTGTGATTTCCAGATGAAGAAATAGGTCAAGTTGTCGTCCCATCTGTTTGCTTTATGCAAGACACCTCCCTCCTTCCTGCTACAGAATACGATAAGAAACTCTGGCACAAATGAGGAGGATTCAAACACAGGGACACCCAGAACAGAAAGTGAGAAGATCAAACCGAACCTTTATAGTACTGTACCATTATATTAGCAATTTAAATAATTAAATTGTAAAAAGTAATACCTATTTTTTTAAAAACTCTGACACATGTATCAATGTTTTACTAAATATGTTAATCATTTTTCTATGTTTAATTATCATTTAATATCCTACCAAAGTTTTACTGCTCTTTGATACATTTTTAAAGATTATTTAAGAAAAAGAACAGCATTTATTTGTAGTGTCACATCATTTGAAAGCATCTTTGCTGAATGAAAATTGTAATTTCTTTAAAACTCTGCCTAGACCCTCACTTTTGAAAATGGGACTGTTTGAAATAGGTATATCTTTAATTTGTGCATTGATTTGTGACTAATATTTGCATATTTTTATTTTTTAAAGATTTATCTGTATACAATGTGCATCTTGTAAGTTATATATGCATAGTTTTAATGTGTGTTTATGTTTTGAAAAACAGATTTTTATGATAGTGTTTCTTTTTTGTTGTTTACCTTTTTGTAGATGAAACAAACAAACAAATAAATAAATAAATAATGATATAGTATAAATATATTGCCAAATATACAGTACTGTTATAGAGTATTGATAATTGTATTAGAAAATACAATAAAGCATGATGGGAACACAAATAGTTTTACTAGAGTTTTACTTTTTTTTAAATTACTTTTTCAAAGAATCATTGTAAAAATAACAAACACTTCCATGTATAATATTCCAAAGTTCAAAGTTTAATTTCCGCTAACTTGCATTGAGTTCCAATATACTGTAGAGTTAGCATTTCGTTTCTTTTTCTTAACTGAGCTACATTACACTCACCGGCCAATTTATTAGGTACACCATAGTAGTACAGGGTCAGACCCCCTTTTGCCTTCAGAACTGCCTTAATCCATCGTGGCATAGATTTAACTAGGTACTGGAAATATTCCTCAGAGATTTTGCTCCATATTGACATGATAGCATCACGCAGTTGCTGCAGATTTGTTGGCTGCACATCCATGATGTGAATCTCCCGTTCCACCACATCCCAAAGGTGCTCTATTGGATTGAGATCTGGTGACTGTGGAGGCCATTTGAGTACAGTGAACTCATGTTGGGAAAACCATTCTGAGATGATTCATGCTTTATGACATGGCAAGTTATCCCGCTGGAAGTAGGCATCAGAAGATGGGTACACTGTGGTCATAAAGGGATTGACATGGTCAGCAACAATATTCAGGTAGTTGTCACAGATGAAAGTAAAGAGCAGGAGGGTAACTGTTTTAGTAAACAATTAATTTGTGCAAGTTAATCTATTGAAAACAATTGTTATTTTAGTAATATTTAGTCATAATGCAATCATGTAGTCTGCTTTCAGTCTGGAATGGCTGTCTAGCCACGCCACTATAATTTGTTAAGTGTGTTGTGAGTGAAAGTTGAGAGGCAGGATGTTAAAAAAAGCCCTGCCCCCTACTAAATATTCTGTTTCAGTTGTAAATAATGTCATCATTTTAAAAGAAATGTCTATCAACTACTAGTTCATAGTTAAACAGTAATATACAAAAATATTATTATATAAAACAACATTTTGGTTGTTTCCTTGTTTGCTTGCTTTTGTGGAAATATACAGCGATACATTTTCATAAATCAAGCTTTTAACTAAATGTTTTGTATCAGGGATAGCTAAAATTTTATTGGCATATCATGTCTTAGATTTTTTTTTTTATATTCTGATCTGGCGCTCAAGAAACATTTTATTGAAACCCTTTGTACTGCTTTTTTGTGGAAACAGTTATACAGTTACATATATATAGTCAGAATTATTAGCCCCTTTTTTATTTTTTAATATTTCCCAAATTATGTTTAAGACAGCAAGGAAATTTTCACATTATGTCTAATAATATTTTTTCTTCTGGAGAAAGTCTTATTTGTTTTATTTCAGCTAGAATAAAAGCTGTTTT